TGATCCACTGCTATTTACTGACTTGTTTATACTCAAGATGATGCACAATGCTCTAGGTCCTAGGACATCTCAATAACTGTAATATGTACAGTCCACACCACCACTTCCACTTCAATTACTTTGCCCTCTCACATTTATAAAGCATGTCAATGTTTTCTAATGACTGTGGGGACTGAAAATCCATTGTCAGGCTAGAATGATGTTACGTAGCATTTTACAAGTATGGTGAAGGTTAGATTCAGTTGGCTACACTAACTGAATATTTCAATCCCATTTTCAGCCATGCATTTTCTCCACGGCCAAGGGCTCAGGATGTTGTTACTTTTTTCAATCATCGGAGTAGCTGTGAGTGTCACAGGCTAGCCCTCCTCCATCCTGCCGGGCTGACGGTGCTGTTGAGCCTGACACTGTGGATGATTTAGGAGAAGATGGGCCTAAACAGGTTAGTCTCCACACCTACCCCATGAGCCCTGTTTGGGAGTAAGAAGATATTTTTTGTAGCAGAGGAGGGACTAGCTGGAGTATGTGGCTTTCTGTCATTTTGATTAATTTCTAAAACATGTGCTTTATTTGTATACCTATGAGATTTTTCCTTGTTAATCCGATTATTAGGAAAGCAACAAGATGGCATTATATATATATTTTTTTTTTCCTTAAAGTTTTCTCGTACCATGAAATGGCTTAATTTTCAATGTGCACGACTATGTTTGCACTTGCCAGTAAGTCATTTGGTGCATCCCTGCTATTAGCCTTGTGCCCCCCGGATATTTCTTCAAGCTCCGACACTGAAAACATCCCTGACAACACCATCTGTGAGATTAGAGAATAACTTTTTTATTTGTTGCCTCTGCCTTCGTCCATCACCATGTTTCCAAATGCTATAATAACATAATAATATGCTGATAGCACCAAATGTAATATAGATATCCAATGTTAATAAGAGTGAGACTTTTGCTGTTGTTTCTAATGCATATAGGGAAAAACAGCCCTGACGATGACAACAACTTCTGCAGTAAAAGTATCCTGACACAGTTTGCAAATCTAACTCCAAATGACTCTCAGCTGCTGCGTCGGACTATAAAAAGAAGCATCAAAAATGATTCAAGCAGACCTCCCAGCACTTCATGATAGATTCAGACTTCTGTTCTGAGCAATGACAACCTCATCATACACACTCAAACTGAATTTAATCAAGTGTTTTTTTGACAAATTCTGTTCCATTTCATCAATGTTATTTTTTTATTGGTGTTTTATTTGTCCTCTTTTTTCCAGGCCATTATGTAAATCTCTTTTCCTGTTGAACTAGTTATTGGCCACTCACACTGAGAGAAGTTTTATGTACACTCCATGAGGGTTTTGCACAATTATCAATATTTCCATTATACATGAAGAAACTGTGGTGGTCCTTTTACTTTGGATAGTTCTATCACATGATGGTCTTGCAAACTTGCATGACAGAAATTCAAACATATTCCAGGAACTGTAGTGAAAGTTATTTAAGAGGGACTGACTGACCAAATGGATGAATATTTGATTATTAAATAAACTGTGCTGTGGTTCAGTGGAGCATTCAGTTAACTGTAATATCAGTTTATTGATGACAGCATGGCTTTCATCTGAACTCGAAACTTGAGTTTTGTCAAAGTATCAATTTCTAGGTAAATAGTGGTTCCACGTGATCCTGATGGTCTTATTTTAGTGTTGATATTACATCCTACACAAAGTCCTCATTAGATGAGTGGGCAAAATGTTTTGATGATTCAGATGAGGGAGCTCTTTCTTCACCTTGTAGGCCCCAAGCTGCTGTGTGGTTAATTATTTATCCCACTGATGAATCTTTCAGTAATACCAAACTGTGCCGGGGGACAAGGTTAATAGGGAGGCAAGATGTGATCAGAGAGTCAAGGAGGGGGGGCTTTCAGGATTAAAAAAAAACTGTCCCATGTCACTGCAGAAAGTACAATACAGGATATATAAGTCTGCTTTGTTTGCATTTCAACTTCAAAAGTGATTTATTCTAGGATGAAATATTAAAAATTATGAAGAGTACCACAAAAATGTCAAAAAATATGTTTCAATTTTGCTCACAGTTAAAATTCTGATCTTTTCCCCTTACAATATATGGCAGTATTTTGTGATTTATTAATTTTTATAATGTCTTTTATTTGATCAAAGATGTTATTGTCTGTAGTCTGGGGTCCCTGTCTCAGCTGGTCCATGCACTCCTGTGGTCCAATGTTTGCAATAACCTTTTCTTGAATTAGATTGTATTAATATTTAATATTTTATATATGCAAACATGTTTACAGGTCATTCTTAACTGGTTTCAAAACTCTAGAATAATTGAGCAGATGGACCTTCTTCTTGTTTTGTCTAAAGCTCATTATTCTTCACCCTGGGCATCAACTGTATACTGCGAGATTACATTGCATATGTTCCCAGTAACTGTGCTGCTTGTGAAGAGCAGCAGCTGTGTGCATTGCAGCGCTTGCCATGAAAAGTTAGTTTTGCCATCTGACTGTGCTGAGTGTTGGAGTAGGTGATGTCGGGGTGGTAGGGTTTGGGGGGTGGGGATAAATGCAAAAATAGAAAGTGACATGGCCCCAAAAAGAGTTATAAAAAAAAGAAAGAAGAAAACATTTTAGCGTCATCTATTTAAATTATTTCTATTTTTTTCTCTAGTATATATGTTATGCTAGTATTTAGTATGTTTATATTGTTTATTACTGCACACCACATTTTCCTGTTGTTTTTTTTATTCTCTGTCTCTGTGGACATTAAATGGGCCATATTGCACCCTGAGGCTTGTATGTCCCCTGCTGCAGCCCAATGTCTACAGAAGGGGGGTGCAAAATAGAGAGGGAGGGGCTTATGAAGAGCAACATATAAAGAAAATGCTAGAGATATCATTTTTATTTTTAATAAGCAATTTTCAGCCATTTTTTTTAAAGGAATGACATGATTCAAAGTTAAGATCAAAACATGAGGATCTCTATTGATTCATCATAAAAAAAGAGAGGATGTTCATAAGATAATATGGTTACACCTGATAATGACTGTACAGATTAACAATGGTGTAGCATTGGTGACACTTGGTTGCACTTGATGAGATTCACAGAGGATGAAAAAGGTAGTTGAGGAGTTAAAGCAAGCCGATGTTGAAGTGTGTGTGGGGGGAAGGAGGATATAGGCACGATGGAGTGAAGATACTTTGCCTCTCCCTGGAGCAGAGGAGGCAGAGACACAGATGTCAGAGAACAAAAATTCCCCAGAGAGAAGAGGGCAAAAATCTGCTCATTTCTCAGCTTTGCACTGTGAAACACAGTTCGTGAGAGAGAGAGAGAAAAGAGAGATGGAGAGAGAGAGGGAGTGTGTGTCTAATTGGCTCTGTATATTAACATCATTACATACTTTTTGCCCTGCATCCCTGGACATCTGCTGTGAGAATTATGACCCTGGGTGTGCAGATGGGATAAGACTGAAAGATTGTCACGCTTTTATTTTCCTTTTTTTTTTTTTCCTTTTGAACTTTGCTGTTATTATTTTGAGTTACCCACAGTCAAATGTTCCATTATATTCACGCCTTGGCACCATTGTTATACTCAGATTATGCAATGTTGTTTGTATGGGTAGGATAAAAATGTTTTTGACTCATGCAGGCAAAAGTTGGAAAGCTAACTGAGTGTGAATTTTTAAGTTAAAGTAAAAGAATATATAAAAATAACAGCAGAAATGAATGGGCAGGGGAAGAGACTATGGGTTACCTAGATAATATAGTATATATAAAGTATATGAGGCCAAAGTCTTTTGCTCAGAGGGATTTGAAGGAAGATATTTTAACCAAACAAGGAGAAATTTAGGACTCCTAACAACTGAAAATGTACTTCTCAAAGGTCTTTGTGAAGGTGAAGATGATCATGGTGATTGTTGTTTTTTCTGATCTCTTTCAAATCATTTGTTTCAAAAACATTCAACATGGCCACATGACAGGACTCATGAGGTCCAAAATAAATCAATGTTGTTTTATTTCACTCTTGAAGATTTACTTCTCTCTCTGAAGTAAGTGGAATTATTTCACTTTGTCATCCTTTTGCTCTTTTATTTACACCTTTCCATAACTTTTGCTTTATTTTGAGTCTATTTTACGTTGGTCCAGGGTCTTCAAATTGTGTTTAGTTCATGATAATCGGCTCTAATATGCTTTAAAAAGACCTCAGTCCACTGGTGTTAATGTCATCAGACACTTGTTGAACTTAGAGTGAATCTTTGTGGGTCTAAAATGTGTCCATTGATTCTTGTGATATATTTAAAGGTGTGTTTTTGAAAACATGTTAATCAGCTCGTAACGGACGCGCAAACAGTAGTCCTGCAGTAACAAAACAGACAGCAAATATTAATCAAGCAGGCTCATTATGCGAGAAACGATCCGCAGTGACGTGGGTCTTAATGAACTGTGCGCGTGGACTGCGTGTGACACGCGGCAGCGCAACACAGTGCTGTCATCCAAACTTAGCGGAGCCCCCTGTGAAGCGTCAGACTGACCGCCTGGCAGCCAGATCAGGCTGTGCGCTTCATCATCTACCGCAAATGCAAAGTCAGGTAGCTCATCCTCATCCCCGCGGACTGTGACAGTGATGGTCCAGAGTGTGGATGTGGATTAGGGAGCTGGGGTCCGACTGGCTGATGCTGAACACCTGCACGTGGCGGAGGACTGCCTTCTTTTTGCTTTACTCGACCTCCAGCCTCCAGCGGCTCCATCACTTCGCCTGTCAAGCGAGAGAAAGAGAACGATGAGCTCTTCTCTCCCCAAAAGCGAGTCCGCCACTTCTCTGCTGAGACCATCGGGGCTCAACCGCAGGTCCGGGCACTCCAACAGTGGTCCACGGGATCACCGGAGCCACCGCACTCACCATCATCCCGTCGCAGCTGGAGGCAGCGACGATGCAGGTTGGACGGAGGAGAGCGAGACGAGCGCACGGAGACCTCTCTGCCAACCAAGGCACGCCGACTCTCGAAATGTAGGTGATCACCGGGTGCAAAGAAGCCACTCTCACCGGCAGACGAGCCCCATGGATGATGGTTACGCAAATGAAGATGTGAGACACAGGGCGAGTCGGCATCAGAAAGAGCGCAGCAAGTCCACCAGGTCCAAACACCCCCATCATCACCATGACTCCTCTCGAGGTGAGCTGCCTCCCGCAGCGCATCACCAGGGCGGCTCCCGGCAGGACAGGAGGACCTCTCCAACGCAGTCTTATCCAAAGCAGCAGGACGACGCGGCTTTCTTCTTCGAGACCAGGGAGAGAGTGATCACGGGGTCATCCTCCAGTCTCAGCTCTGACCAACCTGCCACCAGCGCACCTGTCCAGCCCGCAGCCAGCCGCACATCCAAAAGACTGAGCGCAGCCGTGTCTGAACATGACTCTAGTCTTCATCCCATAGTGAAGTCAGTCTTTGGGCAGGTAAGTGGACATTGAGAGCAAATTTTACTTTTAGGGAAAAAGTAGATTCAAAATACAACCAAAGGTGCAAAGAGTTTATCTTTTATTATTTTTGATTACCAAATTACCATCTGAGCTTTATACCATTATAATGCATCCAAAAAAAGTCAATTTGAACAGTATCCTATTGCTCAAAGCTCACTCATGCACTGTTAAATGTGTGGGTGTTTTGTCGTGTAACACAATGCAAAGGGCAAAATTTCAAGCTGTAAACAAATCATCGTCAGCAGCATCATGAATCCATGAAGAATCCAGATTCAGAGCATTTGGTGCAAAATGTCAGTAATATAGTATATAGTAATATAGTCAGTATAGTTTGATGTACGTAGTTTTAAATTCTCTTCTTGTCCAGTAAAAAACAAACAAACAAAAAATGTTTTATATGACACAGAGGCTCTTTAATTGAAAAAGAGAAGTTACACATAACCCCCTGAAAATAAAGCTGGTTCAGGTACAATGATGCCAATATGGAGACCTTTGCTTTAATATAAACACAGTTATCAATATTGTTTAGTCAAGTTAGATTTATTTTACATACAATGTCTCGATGGGCTTTAAAAAAAACTCTCTAGCCTTGCCGTGGAAAATTTGGGAGAGGCATTTCAAAGAGAGATCCCCCTCCACGGACAGCTGGGGGTGCAATTGAAGTGGGGGGAAGCAACTAAAAATAAGTGAGCCAAGTCAACTCTCAGTCAACCATATCATGAACAAAGTGAGAGTTTGATATTCTAGTCTTTTACTGCCAAATTCACTGTGGCGTGGAGGCTCATTAAAAGTGTATCGCAGCTACAGAGCTGGTTAATCGACAGCAGGTTGGAGGTTCACAGGTGAACCCTCGAACTTATTAAAGCCATGTGTGTGACCCCAGTTGAGCAGATTAAAAATGGATGCATGTATTCAGTCCAAATCTGGCCCCTCTATGTATCTGGTATCCATCAGTGTCACGCGGGGCGGGAGGGGGGAGATGCTGGTCTGTCATGCATCCTAATATGAATACAGCCGCTTTCATTGTGACTGACACCTGAGCAACGGCAGGGGGATCAACTTTCCCACTGTGTGGAAAACTTTTCAATGATGAGAGCTTGTCACTCACTCACCCGCACACACACAGGTAAGTAAACAATTTATATACACATTGAGGTGATAAAAAATCATTCACCTCAAAGACTTTTACTGACACTGTGGTGGGTGAGGGTCAACGGCAAATCAAGGGTGTATCTCTTCTTCCCTGCATCACCTGTTCACCTACTAATACACCAGTTTTCTTCGAGGTACCGCACGTCTCCCGTGACTCCATGCAGTTGTACAGTTCAGTAGCTTGTCTATTCCCTCCCATCTTTTTTTCTTTTCTTGTTTCATTGAAACCCTTCCCTCTGTGATAAAAAGCTCAAGAGGAGACAATTACCTCCCCGAACGCTAATGTGTTACAGAAATAACTCCTCTCAATCCAGGCCAGAGCTTCAATCAGTCTTAGGGGTTCCAGTGAGGCAAAATCCATGCAGCGGTGTGCTATATAAAGTCTCTGGAGCTGCTGCTGCTGCTGACGTGTGTGGAAATGGAAATGGAAATATTTTGGCATTTCCATCAAATCTATAAATGATCAGATGAGCAAAGTGTTGTGTTGTATATTTGAATAGATATGTTGGCAAATGTTACTGCAGTTGAGAGGTTTTTTGGGTGAGAGGAATGTGAACTATAGATGAAACAAATAACAGGATTATGCGGTTATCAACTCACATTAAACACATCCAGTCAAAGGTTTAGACACTACAAAGTTTGTGTGATTTCTGTGATATTGTCACTGTGAAGTTAAGTCACATCAGACACAGCTGTCGGTAGTCAAAATAGATTCCTGAGAAGTGGTGCACACCAGTGTTTGTGTGAAAGAGAGAGAGAAAGGACTGAGGTATGTGCGAGAAAGAAAAGAAAGAAAGTGATGGAAGAGTGAATAAAGCTGAGAGAGTTTGTGCATGCATATTTTTGTACCTGCTCAGCATCTTACTAAAGCCTTTTTATTTTAGTGACCACGCAGTCATAATAACATGCCGTTAATGTTCCTTGAATAGATGTGGCAGCCAGTGCAGTGCAGAATGCGGGGTGAGATATTACACACTACAAATGATTTCATTTCGTATTTCTTATGTAACATCAAGATCTGCATACAATCCCAACAGGACTCATTCGCTGCCAGTGGAGGAAGCTATAAATAGCCCATCAAGACCTGATTATGAGAGACTGGAGGAGGGCAGAGTGGGCTTTTCTTTCTTGTCTTAGTAAAAATATTCCAAAATCCTCGGCAAAACATGTACCTGAAAAATTTTGAAACTGATAAAATAGACCTGCTTTTCAGCATGTGCCGACATGTTTCTCAAAGCTACACTTTCATATTCATTAGATGAATCATGATTACCAAAGACGCTAGTGTGGGGGTTAGAATAAGGACAAATGTGAATGTGGTTAACTGTTCCGAATGTGTTTTGCAGCTTGTTTACAGATACATTGTGGAAATGCATGTATTTAAAGCTGGCGAACACAAAACTCTCATTATTTCAGCACATTCAGTCTTTTAAACCTTCCAGGTTGCACCAAACACCTTGACCAAGGACAGAGCATGAGCAGTGTTTTTGACCCAGTAGAAATTCAGTTGCTATTTTAAGAGATTCTGAACAATCACCACATCCTTCAGTTTTTGTGACCTTAAGTGACCTTGACTCACAAACCCTCACTGGATATCTGGAGATGCGGTAGAGACCTGTTATCGAAAGACGTGTGATATCTGCTGCTGAGAAATTGTAATTGAGGCGATGGCAATTTTCTTTTCAAATTAAATTTAGATGAAAGGATATGTATGTTAACCAGCAGAGGGAGCAAGTACCATTTGCACTAATAGGTCTGAACTCAAAGTGTGTGTGTGTGTGTGTGTGTGTGTGTGATAGAGAGGAAGAGATTAACAGTCCAGTGTGTGTCACATCAGTTAGACAAGAGAAGTGAAAGGGCAGGGGAAAGAAAGTGAAGGAAGCGAGGCAATTGGATAAATTGGAAGAAAGACAAAGGATAAAACAGGAAGAGTGACTCTGCTGGAAGACTTGATGATTGCTATGTAAGACAAACTCATCAACTCTCACCTTCCTGCTCCCACCTGACAGCTCTGAAGACAATGTGAGGAAAGATCTTAAAACACAGATTAGCCCTTCACTTCCTCGCCTGGTTATCCTGTTACCCATCTTGTACTCGCGTGCACTGATGTTTCCTGTCTGCCTTTCTCTCTTCTCCCTCTTCTCCCTCTTCTCCTCTGACAGGGTCACTCTGACCTTGATGACGTCTGAGAGGGAGTTAAAAGCGAGAGAAGGCATGCTTTACAAAAAAAACCCCAGCCAAAATAAGTGGAGAAAAAAAGGCAGAAGGATCTGGGTGAAAATGAGAGGAAAGAGAGCAGCAGCATCCTATTCACTGCAGCATATGCCTCCAGTCTAGAGTATAACAGGCTATTTTTAGACACAGATGGATATTTTTGTATCTGTGCTAGCAAAGAAGGAGGTAGAAAATTCACTCTTTGGTTAAATCCCTTTTTGAGATGAGGATTAGGCGGTGAAATGTAAGAGCCTGTGCGCACTATACTGCATGCGCTGCAAGTACACACGTGTGTGATGATGCTAAATATTCATGGGGACCTGAGGCTGAGAGGAAAAATCAGTGAGAGACACTGCGAGACAGTGAAATGAGACAGAGGACAGGGGATAAATGAGTCAGAGGAAAAACAACAGGTTTAATTGACTGAAATGAGACATGTCAATAGTTTTTCCAATGCTGACGCACTAGACGTTTCACAAGAGCTGGTTTGCACATGAATCTGAAATAATACAAAAATACCAGAATAATCTGAATGAACGTTTTAGCCATTCTGATTTGACTGGCTGAGTCGTCAGTTTTGTTTATTCAAAGTGCAAGAAGATGACGCAAGTGTGCATTGTATGTTTTTTTACAGCCTAGACGTCGTCTGATGACGACAAAAAATATGAGCACAAGAAAAATCCCATTGTGTCCGTGTTTACCCATTTGAATACTCTATGACGTAAACTCAGCAGCTGTAGAGAAATGATCATGTTTGACCATGAAATGATTACATTTCATTCTACTTTGCAATTAAAAAAGGAAAATGCTAAATGTTGCCTTCTAATAGCAAAAGACCAATTCTCATTTTTATTTAAAAAGAAAATGTAAATGATGAACGCATGAGAGCTTATTACATCAATCCCTTCCTTTGCCCTCCTACATCTCTCAGCTCATTTAACAAACTGGATGGCTGTGTGGCTGAAACAGGATTATATTTGACCTCAAAGTCTTCATTAAAAAGCAAATGCAGTGTCCACTGTATTTTAATATTCAGCAAAAATCTATTTATTATGATTCTGTGTATGACTCCGGAAAAATGGTGCCCCAATAATCGTCGGATATCTTCTCCTGAGATGTTGTTGTTGTATGTAGTGTGTAAGCAGTTATGTAAATGTGTAAAGTGTGTGTCTGTGTGAGTGAGCAAGGGTGAGGGAGAAGGATAAAGCCAGACAGAGAGAGAGAAAGAGGGGGAAATGGATCTCATGCCCGTGCACACTATGGTCTGACATTATGAGAGCTGACGGCTCCTGTGTCTGACGTCTGATGTGTTCTGAAGTTCACAATGAGCCTCCGGTGAGAGGCTGGATGAATCATCCGCAGAACAACACAGAGGAGCCGCAGAGATATTGAATGGGAGCGAGATGTGAAACGACTTCGGCGTGAATGTGTTTATTAAAATAGCAGAGAATAGACAAGGTCGAACAGGAGAGGGAAATAAGGATGTTCATTAGTGTAGCAATGGCCGCCAGTGAAGTTACCTCAGGAGTGAATGCTGCTGGTAAAAACCTGAAATTAGGGTTTATACTGTGTGTTGTGGTTTGTAGTTTTAGACAGTGGTTGAAGATGTA